TTAAGCAATTACGCTCAAAGATAGATACTCTCAAGGACAAGATTCGTACAAAATCCAAAGAAAAGAAAGATTTTTTATCTAAGATGGAGGCATTGAAGAATGCATTGGCTTCGAAAGATGACGAATTGAAACAAATGAAAGATGATCTGGCCTTGAAAACTTCAGAGATACACTCCTTAGAATCCAAGTTATTGTCAGAACCAATCAAGATCGGCGGTGAGGCAGATGAAAAAAAAATACCAAATTCTATCTCTCGGAGTGATGATGCTATCACATCTGATATACCTAGTAAAGATCTCAGTCAATATTTTATACGTGGAAAAGGTATGGATCAAGTTGGAGAAATCGATACTGATATATGCCTTGGCATGAGCCCCACTCTACCAGATCACACTGATGATAAAAGTGTCTCTATACTTCAAGGTTCGAAGAGCCATGAGTGTAACTCACCCCTACGGGCCTGCTCCGCAATAGAAATACCTAAGGTGACTCCATACCTTGCACAGCCGGAAAATAATACTCCCTCTTTGATTGAATCGAATTCTCAAACCCCGATAGAGGGAATAGGATCAATTCCCATTGTACCATATATATTATTACTTACTCTGTTAATTATTGCGGTTATGTGGTTCGTGAGATGCACGTGGAATATAGGTAGGCTCTTTGAGCCATTGCTCCACAATAAAAAAAGTGATCAGCTACAGGATGCATGGACTAGGTATTAGGAATTATCTATTTAAACTTCGATATTATTTATGTACAAAAAAATATAATTAATATTGTATAGCAGAACTAGTGTCCTTTTTCCTCACTGTTTTTCGGAAAAAGATATATATGTTTACACAATTTCTATGGCAGAGCCATGACTCTACGAGAAGGCGGGACACATAAGTATCACTGATATAAAGATGTATTTATATTGAGCTGACTGCCCTGTTCCATAAATTTAGAAAATTATCAAGTGCTAGTTGATCTGTTTTCGATATATAATATGGGGTAAGGTAGGTTGTTCAGTAATAATCTCTTTTTTTCTCATAGTCTCAGGTGGACCAATCTTATTTGGAATGGATATATGTTCTTTATATCTCATATGATACACTAATTTATGGAAGAAAGCATCGTATTTCTCGATAATTGGGATAAGTGCATTTAGGTGTTTCGTAAAATCAGATTCTTTTACTTCATCACTTATCAATAGATTATCATTTTCGGTGTATGCTTCGGCGTACTCTATAAATTTTTCCCATAATCTCGAAACAGGGTTACTTACTTTGAAGTCTTCAAAGTTTAGCCAATCTCCATAAAATATCTCGTACGCGTCACCTATTTTCTGATATAATATAGCTTGTGCAGTCTTGACTGCATTTTTATAGGCACGTTTATAGGCATACCCACGATTAGATAATATTTTAGGAGCGATTCCATTTATTACATTTATCTCCTTAATATATGACTCGAGCCACTTCTTAGCCTTATTTTGAGCATAGGTATCAACCTGTTTATATTTCTCATCTGAATCAGTAATCTTCATAATTTTGTCAGTAGATGATGGTTCATATTTTTTATCATACATGATAAATCGGGCACAAAGTCCATTAATGGTATTTTCGAAGTAATGGGATAGATCCAATTCCTTATTTAATTCTTTTGCTACATCTGCGAATTCCATTTGATCAGCCTTTCTCATTGTGAGCTTGAAACCAGATAAATCAAAGAATGAATCGGGGTGGATCATTACATAACTGAAGCGTTCCCCAGGATCAGGAATTTTATTTTTATATTTTTCTCTCATCCGTCCTATAAATTGTTGGACACGTTTATTATCTACATTAGGTTTCCATGCATCACTCTCTATAAACTGGTCGAAATTCCATTGCCCGGGATTAGTTATAGCCTCTTTAAGAACATCTTCAACAATCTCATGGAGTGTTCGATTATTATTGATATCCATCACTCCCCACATAATCCGATCCCCTATAGTTCTAAAAAGTTGGGACTTACCTTGCTTCACTGTATCGATACCTTTAATGAAAAGTTCTTTTGGGTTAAAGTTTGGAACTTCTTTATGTGGTATTCCAAAATATTTCTTTTTACCCGTAAATACTACTGGGAATAAGACTTCTTCATAAGCCATTTTAAGATAAGTTGATCTATTCTTTATTTTAAGATATGTATTCACATCATCGCGTAATTTCTCCATTACTTTCATGGTAATATTAACCATTTTGGTCCAATACTCCAACTTTGAAATTGTGCCTTTACCATTGTTATAAGTGAGATCACATTCTTTATAACATTCAATTGGACAGGTGAGATATAAAGAATCAGTATCCCCATATTTGATTCCAAAACCTTTCTTCTTAGTTACATATTCAGCAACAAGTTTAATGTTATGTTGCCCTGCTGATGTGACGCCACCAGCCAATTGTAGGAAGAAGAATGGAGATAGACTATTACCTGCTTCCCCATAGAAGGTATTCATATATATTTTTACTGCTTTTTGTTTTGAATCTAAGCAAGTGTGATCAAAGCAGACAGAATCGTATTCTATTTTAAAAATTTCGTAGGTTTTATTAATAAGGGGAATCAAGATTTCATTCATATTGGCACATTTTTCTTTATCTTCAGCATTTTTTAGAATATGATCAATAGCATCGGCCACAGACAAATTCCTCTCTTTTATTTTACTAATTACTAATTCCATATACTCTTTTTTGTTGCTAAGTATTCCCAATTGAGCCTTCATTTTATTTCGTTTATTAAGGAGTTCTTTTAAAACCGATGGATATAACCCCATTTTATTATTTTTATTTTCATGTCTTATAGACCAGGCATGTAAAATTCGGCCATTAAAAGGAAACTCGATTTTATAGAGGATTTCTCCAGCCTTTTCTAATGCACCCGCCTCTTCTGCTAGTAGAGTCATTGTTTCTGGCGAGAGATTATAATTCATAATAATACTTGGATATAATGATGCGAAATCTAAACCTGTAACAGGACGTTTGTTTTCTAGACCCTTATCTGGGGGAAATACATAGGCTCCAGGAAATGTTCCTTTTTCTGCCTGTTCAGAAGAAATCATAGTGATTAATATATCTCTTTTCCATGCTTCAGCACCTAATAGATTACATACCTTCATACCCCCTGCATAGTAATGTGAATCGAATAAAGAAACATATGCAATTGAGGCTACCTCTCTGTAATCATTTATTACGTTTCTCTTAACCATAAGGCTTTGACAACTAAGAGAATCAACAATACAATACTTAGCAATTTTACGTATATTTTCAACAGTCTCGGGTGAGGCATTCTCCTTGCTTCATGTATAATATTCCCTCATAACTTTTATGGGTAAGTCTATTTTACTATCAAGACCATGCATTTCTAAGAAATAGTTGAGCGATTTTTTCTCAGATTTTGGATAAAGTTTTTCACAACATACTTTTACATCTATTGGGACACATCCTGGGACTTTAAGAAAAGTGGATGTAAAATTTTTCTCCGGCGTAATTTTAATTTCAATCCCTTCCTGATTCTTTATCTTTTTATTATAATCGTCTTTTTCTTTCTCCACTTTCGATTTCGATTCCCATGTTTTCTCCTTATGGAAGAAATCTTTATAGAAAGGTTCACCTACCCCTCCGTAGTAATTCCAACGAAGAATAGAATCGATCATAGCCTTTTTTCGTGGGTTTGCTGACATCTTTGTCACCATCCAATCTAGAATTTTTCGTTGGGTAGCTCTTTCCACTACAAATGGCCAGTCATACTTGGAACCATTAAAAGTGAGTTCAATATCAGGAGCTAAAGCCTGCCAACATAAAGCAAATGCTTTTAATAGATTTTTCTCATTTCCACATACGATCGTAATCCAATTTGGGTCCTGTGCACTTTCAACATCAACAAGGCAGATTTGTTTCAATGGCTTTGGGTCATTTTTCCAGTGAATTGTCATACAAATCATAAATATATTATCTTCTTTATATCTCGCATAGGGCACGTGCTCTAACCCACGTGTTGAATGTGTTTCAATATCCCAGGTAAGGACTAATGCTCGGTCATGTGTAATAAGCTGAGAAGGGTATGTTTTATATAATACTGTGGGATCCTCAACACGGTGAAAATCATTAACAGATAAATAAAAGGCACGTTCACAAAGTGGTGAGCAGGCACTATAAGGCATTCGATCATTATTGTATTTGTAATTAGTTAATAAACTCCACCCAGAAAGTGGTATTCTATACTCTCAAGCAACTTTTCGGTAATATGCACTCATATCATCTGAGGCAGTTTCCAGCTTATCCCCCCGCTTTGCTTTCTCGATTTCTGAATTATGTTTTAGGATAATATTGAGAGCAATCGATCTTTGTTTAGTAGTAGTTGTAACAATGCGTAGATATATCTTTTTTTCTGGATGATATCCCCTGATTGGAAAAGCCTTCACATATTCTATTCGGAGCTCTGTCATTTCTGCAGTTTCTCCTTCATCATTTTTTCCTTTAATGAGAATATCCTTTATCTTGGACTCAAATAACTTTGTATTCTCATTATCAGGAACATGAATATCGAAGAAAACTTTAATTCCTGAAATGGTTACTACAGCTTTTTGGCCGTTAACGAGATAGCCATAGAGGCATAAAACATAATGTGGGACATTATTTATATATTCGTTATACTCTTCAATATCGACAGGCATAAATGGAATATCTCCCCCAGTAACTAAATCCCGTTTAATAATCGCTGTCGATCCATAATCTTTATTCTCTTTAACTATACTATTACGACTGGGACGGGTCGGTAAGTATTCTTCTCCATTATAGTAAAATGCGCTTTCCTCCTTACTTTCCGAAATCTGTGATTGAGGAAAAGCTTTCGCCCCCCGGTGGTAGAAGGCCCCGTTATTTTCTTCCAGCTCAAAATTTTGGGTATCCATGGTTGACACATCGGATGATGTGGGTACAATAGGCATGCTCTGTTTACTTTGGGTACTCATAGTAAGTATATTTTACTGCTAGTATATTGTTCCGGAAAAAAAAGTTCAAATGAAAATTAATTCTAAAGAATACTTATCAGTAGATAATAACCATTATATCGAAAATTATATAAATATGGCGTTTTTATTTTATCGTTGCTCCTATATTCTTAGGACTGGAAAAGTTTGCAATCGAGGTTGCTATCGGCCTGAAGGGTGTAAAGTTCACTGGAATTCTCCAGCATGCGTACCTTGTAAAGAATGTGGTAAGTTGACCTATTCCGACTCCGATTATTGTGATACTCATGCAGATAAATATCGAAGGCGGAATCGATATCAGCAGAAAAAGCTGGAGAAGATGGCACAAAAATCAGAAGTGCTTAGAGAAAATACATAGTTCAAACAGGTGTCACAAGTTGTCACAAGTTGTCACAAGAAAAAAAAAATGGTGGAAAGATGTGTTCTTGAGAGTCTGAGTTTGAAAAAAACTGTTCTCGATAACTGTCACAGGTGTCACAAGTGTCATAGATAAATCAGAAAATCCTCAGCCCCCACTTTTTTTTTCATAGGTATACATATGTATATATCGAAGGTAGGTATATAAATCAGGTATATGTATACATATTGAGAGTATACCATAGAAAAGAGTTTTATTTTTTCTCTTAGAATTCTACTATTTTACTTAAGTAACTTGTGACAGATATAAAAAAGTAATCAAGAAAGAAACGAAAAAGTTCAAGACTCTCAAACAGGTGTCACAAGTTCTGTCACAAGTACCTGCAAACAACTAGTGACATCTAGCGACAACTTGTGACAAAAATTTGACATACTAATACTTCGATATAACATGTTATTAGCATGAGCGAAATTGAGATATTTTTCTAATGCTAACTAGTATCAAAAATTCCGGCAAACAAAATCAGCATACTTTAATATAACGTACTCGATAGCATTTTTTGATAGCATATACATGGTAGCATTATCGTGATATACTAGCATACATAGACGTATCACTAAAAAAAGGGGTC